GTACCGCAGGACGGAAGGGGTGGGGGTCTCCGAGGAGATGATCTTCATGCTCGTGTTGTGGAGCACGCTGGGGCGCTGCTGGATGGTCTCGTGGGTGCGGGGTGAGACGGGAGAGTGCTGGTGGCTGTGCGAGTGCGAGGACGAACGGCTGCTGGACTGCTCTGTACCTGGGGGAAAATACAAAGAAGGGCTTCCTTAGCTCTTTGTTTTATAGCCCCAACCCCACCTCCACCCAGCACGGGCCCCAAGATGTGATGCCAGGCTCCTCCCCAGCCTACCTGGTCTCCAGATGGGTGCATGCTCCACTGTGGTGGATGCGAGGATGGATTTTTCACGCTCCCTCTCCCGTTCCCTCTCCCGCTCGGACACCGACGATCCCGACTGTTTGGTCATGTGCGTGGGGCCTCCTGAAACCCAACGAAAGGCAGTGAAAGGGCTGCAGACACAGCAATTCCCCCCGAGGAACACATCGCTGTGTCTGCAAAGCAGATAAGGAACGGCTCCATCCAAGGTCACTTGGAGCAGGACAGACGGCAGCAATCCACGTGACAAAACGTGGGCAAATTAGGGAATAGCTGTCCTGGTGCTGTCTCCGGGGTACCACCTTCCACAAAGCTGTTTGCCAGCTGCCACTTTGGGGAAGAAAGAGGAAAAGCAAGGAAGCCCCAACAAGCAGGATCGGAAGGGCTGATGTGAAGGAGCCAGTGGGCTGATCCCTGAGCAAGAATGAATTTGGGCTCCCCCCATCTGCCCTGGCATGCTCAGCTCATGGCCCTGAATTGGTTAAGGGTGTCCTGCCTGCCCGCTTTCCCATGGGAAAAGCAACCTGCAGCATTACCTGGGGAGAGCGGGGAGCTGCTGTGCCGGCTGCCAAAGGTTTGGGGGGGGCCAGGGATGTAGGTGATGCGGTCCATGGTGGTGGCAGAGGTGCCAGGGGTAGGGGGCACGAGGACAGGCAGGTGTGGCACTTGGGACAGGTCGATGATGCCTGGAGAGAGAAGCGAGAGGACTGTCAGGATGGTGCTGAGCCGCTGCAGCTTGGCCACGCTAGAGCGGAGAGTGACACTGGGGAGGGTTGATCCGTCCTGCTGCTCTGGCACAGCGCGGGAGATGCCAGCACACACAGCCCCCGGGCACTGGTTGTCAGGGGAGGGGACCCTTCTGTGGGCAAACACAGCGTGTCCTGCTGTTGGGAATAACGGGGAGGAAAAATGTTGAGACCTATCCCTGCTGAGCGAGGGGGTTGCAGGCAGCATCAGCCACAGCTCCCCTCAGCCAGAGCCCAGTGCTGCTCTGCGGGCAGAGGGGCAGGGGCACTGCACCCCAGGCACCCCCCAGCACGCTCCGCTTTTTGCAGAAAGCCAGATATCCTTCTGGGAGTGTGTTTTAATCTCCAAGCCAGCAGGGCCAGGCTGGGAAGTGCTCCCACGACCCAGAACCAGAGCTGCCCATAAGGAACCTCAAGCAACTAAAGATGGCAAAAAGAGCATCAAATTCTGTCCTCAACGCTGACCGGCCAAGTTCCTACACTGCTGGGTCACACTGTGCTGCTGGCTCCGCCCTCGGCCCCAGCACTGGAGCTGACAGTGCCGGCTTAACCCAGCCTCCTTCTCCCAAAGTGCCCCCAAACCCCTGGATGGTGCCGTGCCGGGAGGACCTGCTGCATAGTTGAGGGCGAGGGAGGGCTCCCGGGGCGACAAGCCGCGCAGCATGTCTGCCCGCTGCGCCATGGCCGTGGCTGCGGCGTTGTGGGGCATCTGCTGGGACGTGATGTAGTCGTTGATGATGGTCTGGCGGTTCTCCATGGCGGCCGTGTCCGGGTAGCCCCGGATGAGGTACGGGGGGTAGAGGTGGGGGTACGTGGGGCTCGGAGCCAGATGCCTCGGCAAGTAGTAAGCAGCAGCTGGGAGAGAAAAGGATGCAGACGTGAAGTGGCTTTCCCCAGAGACCTCAGGCTTTTGGAGCATAACAAGGAACAAACCAATCCCAAACAGACTGTGGCGCCACGAAGGTACCTGCTTCCAGTTGGATTCCCCTCGGGATGGCGGCGGGGTCGAAAGCCAGCGGGATGTGCCCTCGGTACAGGTCCACCCCACTCACACCACGGAGCAGGTGCTCGTACGGGGAGATGGGGTGATGGTGGTCGGCCACGGGGGCATGTGGAGACTTGGAGTTGGTGAGCTCTCTCGATGTGGGGGTGATCTTTCTGTCCTGGGACACCGGCTTCCCGGCAGTGATGCTCCCTGCAGCGAGCAGAAGGAAATGAGTCAGAGACTGAGCGTCATGGCCAAGCTGCATCCCTGAGGGATGCCTGCAGCCAAATGTGTTCCCCAGGGATGTTCGCAGCTACCCTGAACTTGAGGGACCTCTCCCTCCTCCTGGCACCACCATGCCCTGTTACGCCACCAAGGCGAGGTGGGCCAAGCCCCGGTTGTGCCCGGGAGGAGAAGCCTGTCCCAAACCATCCCTCCACCCCAGCGCATCCATGCTGGGTGGTCTGTGAGTTCATCCTGACCCGCACAAGCAGCCAGTGGTGGAGCCTTGCTGCTGTGCTCCTCGGCACAAGGAGGTCACCGCTGCTGGGCAGAGCCAGGGACCCCGAAACTCCAGGCAATGGTGACAAAACACAGCTCAGAGCATGCGAGCACTTGCCACCCTTGGAGCTGTAATCTCTTTCCCAGCACACGCAGGGGAGGTTGGATCATGTCAGGGACTTCTCTTGGCTGTCCCAACATGAGCCGGGCATTGATGGCACTTCTTATCCAACCCAGGATGAGCATCACCACCTCCTGTGTCCGTAACAGCAGGTTAGGGACAGCGGCTGACACAGAGCCACCCCAAGCAGCGTGACCAGACCCCCTGCACCAGACTGCACACCAAGCGCTGCCCGGCCCTGCCTCGGGGAGCAAGGAGCAGCCCCTTCGCGCGCAGGCAGGCGGATCCAGCCCTGTTGCTGCCGACTTTAAAACAACCATGGCTGCAACACGGGCCATGCGAAGGGTCGTTCCTGCTCCTCTCACGAAGCTTGGCATCTTGGCATGACTGCTAATAATTCAAATTTACCGTTGGAGCGGGCGAGTTGGGGAAAGGTGCCTTCCAACTCTGACCCACACCATGGGGACTCCTCCTGCAGATCCCCTGCACCCCAAAACCCTCTGAGCTCCAGACGTGCAGAAATCACCCTTCCCCCTGGCGCTCTGCAGGAACATTGATTTTTCCCTTGGGATCCTTCCCCACTGCCCAGGTGCTGCCTGCCCTGCATGTGCCAATCCCAAAGAGCCGCCAACATCTGAAGGCTTCCCCCAAAATGACTGACCTAACTGGGAAGACAGCAGAGGCTGTGGCAATGGGACACACCGACCATGGAGAACTGGAGCTGGCCCGGCTGGCAGCGAGTGATGGGGAAGGCTTTTTGGAGGAGCTCTGCACTGCACAGCCCCATCTCCCAGTCCTCGCTGGGGAGGCACGTCCTTGCCTCAGTCCTCAGCAGACTGTGATGTCTTGTGCTGCACGCCCCCAAATCACAGGACTCTTGGGGTAGGACAAGGATTTGCAGGCGGGAGATGCAAAAGGCCCTGAAGCAGTTACCCGTAGCTAGCAGGCTTGGTGGGACAAGGTGTCTTAGGGATTGGCTTCAGCACTGATCCTGCCCACAAACAGGCCATGAAGCAAGAGGGTTTTTTGTGTTCTGGATCTTAGCGTGTCTCACCAGATCACTGAGCCCAGCCCAGGAGCCCCAGGCCTGGCTCTGGGGGCAGGAGATGACTGATGCCAGGGGTCATGGGCAGACCCTGCCTGGCACAGGCAGACAGGTCGGAGAGATGGCAGATCCCAAAGTTGAGCTGCACTGCCTGGATCCACTGGCTCAGAAGGGGTTAGATGTTCCTGGAGGTGAGGCACTCAGGTGCCCAGGTGATGGATGAGGCATAAACACACGAGGCAGGCAAACACATACCAGATTGGTGAAAAGTGCGAAGATCCCCCCACCCAGCGCATCAAGCACTGCTTTCCTGCCTGCCTGTACAAACAAGGGTGCCCCGGGCCAATGCTGGGACAGTGAAGACACTTTTGAAATGCCACCAGCTTCATTAGCCATGGTCCAAGTCTCCCTTTGGCTACCCCAGCACAGACGTGGGGTGCCCTTGCTGCAACCGTGTGAGCACTCCCAGGAAGGGAGCCGAGCCCCAGACGTTCCCTGCAGCCACCCCAGTGCCACGAATCAGCCATGGCTGTGGGCAAGAGAATGGGTTTGATGGGCACCTGCTGGGAATGGCTTGGGCAGGTGGGGTCAGCAGCCACCTCCTGAGCACCTTGCCTGCTCAGCTTGCCTGAAATCTTAGCATCAAATAAAAGGTTTGCCAAGTACCTTCATGCTGCCGCGGCGTGGACTCCCGTGTGGAGACCGGAGACCCTCTGTGCAAGTGGCTGCCAAACGTCGTGCTGTGCCCTGCCTGGTGGTCCTCGTAGGCAAGGGCACTTTGGTGGGGCTTGCCCGGCTCGGGTACAATCACAGGAGCCCCTCTGGCGATGGAGCCACCTGAGTTTGTCACTGGGCTTGGCCTGTTTTTCAGGCTCTCTTCATAAGCTCTCTCCAGATTCCTCGGGTCTTGGATGACATCCAGTGAGTGCACGGAGTGAAAAGTCCTGCCGGGACTGCCGATGATGGACCTCACGTCATGCTTTTTGGTACTCGAGGAGGAAGAGCTGCTGTCATACTTCAGTGGGGTACCCTGGGGACAAAAGGCAGAGGAGACATCAAAGGGGTGTAGAGCAGAAGGGGATGCAGCAAGCGCATCCCATCAAGTTTCAGTGGGACTGGTGTTTCCTCGTTCAGTGGGTCAGTACACCAGTTTACTTGGTCAAATGGCAACAGCCATCGGCAAAGCAGAGATAATAGCTCCGCACGGCGCAGGGCAGGGTGGAGCGCTCATCTTGCACGTCTAGTTGTGCTCCAACAAGATGATGATGATGAGTCACTGCTGACGGCTGGCTGTGCCCATCACGCCTCTCTCCTACACACACTGTGAAATGAGGTAGGACTACGAGGTGCCATGGGAACCCTCCAAATATTTGCAGTCCAACAGGAGACAGCATGCCATGTTTCACTAACTACTCGCCTCACTGGGTTGACGCTTGCCCACAAAGGGAGGAGACCAAGATTATGCGTACCCAGAGTCACAGCTGCCGAGGGCACCAGGAACAAGACTTGAACAAGAGCCTTGACCAACAGCCTTGAACAAGAGCCAAATGCGTCCCCTTCCGTGTAGGCATGTGGATGGAGCATCACTTTCTTAATGTGCCAGGGGGGTGTTGACCTCCCTTCTCTGGGTTTTGTATTTATCAGCTGGGAAGGATCATAGGACGGTTTGGTTTGGAAGGGACCCCATCCAAGGATGGGGAGGGGCAAGCTGTACCTAAGCAGAGCCTCAATTCTGACCAGTGATGTATTTGTAACCCAAAGCCCTCTCTGCTCTCCTTTTACCTCGGGAATGGTCCCCAGGGTCTGTGCAAGGACAGCAGCCTGAGTAGGACTGATGTCATCCGCTGTTCGCCCCATACTCACCTGCGTGATGGAGCCTTCCTTCAGAGGTCTTGTCAGAGAGATATCTGGTGTCCGCCTCAGCTCCTCCCGGGGAATCTCATGGATTGATCTTCCCGCTTCTTTCACCGTGGCCACCAGGCCTTCATGGGCAGGTTTCATTTTCAGAGGAGTAAGGCCCTCATGAGACCTGACCTTGTAGGCATCAGATAAGTCCCTCGGTGGAGTGTTTTCCCTCTTGAGCTGTTTGGCTTCTCTTCTGAGGTAGTCCTCATGGGCCTCCACGTATGACCGAGGTATTCCTGCAACCCCCAAGCAGATGATGGATGCAGAGGGTGATTCTCCCCAGCCAGACACTGGACTCCCAGTCCCTCTGCTGATGCTCAGCTCAAGGGGGCCTCTAGTTAATGCACGTAACTTTGGGACTGGTACCTAACCGAGCACATGGAGCAGCTAAATCACTAATGCAGCTGGACCACCTCACACCTACCACCACTTTCTGGACCCATTTCACACTAGTTTCAACCTGCCTTCATGTGAGTCACTGAGAATTTTACCCCTGACTTCGGTGAGAGCTTAGGCTGGTAGAAGCTGAGCAAGACTGAAAACCTCTCTGAGCGCACAGCTGAAGCTGCAGAGATCTGCAGCTTGACCTCAATGTGTCCATCGTTGTTTCTTCCTGCCCTAGCCTCACAAGAACAAGGGGCCACGGATGCGAGACACTTCCCCACGTTACCTCTGTCTGTAGCCATCTTCTGCTTGCAGGCCTTACCTTGTGTAATTGAGCCCCGCATGTGATGCTGCTCCTTTAGATTATGGGGACTGTGTCTGTCTGGAGGGATCGCTCGACCCATGAGACCTAGAACGGATCCGAGGGAGAAAGTTGGGCTGTGTCAGAGGAGTTCATTTACAACGAATACATGACAGTGTTATCAGGGACTCCTGGGACAACAAGGAAAAACACTGACAATTTCTAAATTTCTTGATTTCTCTTTTTTTAAAATGTGCTTCCTTTTTTTGTAGTCTTGAAACTGGTCTACCAGGACAGAAACCGAAGGCAAACGGGCTAGTCTGTGTCCCTTGTTTTCCCATGGCGGGCAGATGCTGCCCTGCTGGGATGTGCTGCAGGGTTCCAGCCAACCACTGCCAAAACACAGGCACGGAAAGGTGCCTCATGTAGACAAGATGGGGTCTCTGCTGGTCTTGACTAACACAGCATGGGTGAAAGGTTTCACCCGGACCCACCTTCAATGCTAGCAGATAAGGTATCACGGGCTGATAAGCCCCGGCTGATCCTCCCCTCCATCATATCGTAGGTCCGCTTGGTTCCTGTGGTCTCATGTGAAGCCCCTGAGCTTCTGCTGTCTTCTTTGGGACACTGAGAAGAAGCAACTCCACCTGGGGAAGGGAACACCGAGAAACACGATCAGGAGCACGGAAAGTGAGCACCGGCCAAGGGAGGGTGTTTACTGCTGTTTGCATGTGTTGCTGAAAGGTCCCAGCCCATCCCAGCACCAGCCACTGCTCAGCCATGCCAGAAACATCGCATGAGGTTGGCTTCCAAGAAATTCAGCTGGTGTTTTCTCCCCTCCCTGCCTGCCTCAGACTCCAGATCTGTGCCTCCCGCTTGGGTAGGAGCATCCGCCCTGTCGTGTCCCGCTCCCTCCCTCCCCGGTGGGGACCATCATGTGGCTGTGGGACAGCCCGGAGCCAGCGCGGCGCTGGTGTGAGCAGCCGCGGTTCCACTGAACTTGGCCCTGTGGGTCTGGGAATTTTTATTTTTTTTCCTTTGTTTGTTTTGATTTTTGCTAGACACCTACTGTTTGGGATCTTGGCCAGCCTTAACATTTGCCGAGACACTCCCTGGGTGAGAAAATCAGGGAAAAAGAGGGAGAGGCAAAGCTGAGAATGATTCCTTTGAAACAGCGGTGAGTGTGCGTGAGAACTGGGAAAGACGGCAAAAAGTCCCACGCAGGACTGATGGAGCAAGCACTAGCATGATAGGAGACCACCAACCATCTCCTCGTCCGAACTGGGAGCAGATTCATCTGCAAACGAAGAGTGGACAACTGTCCTGAGCTACAGCCCCCAGCCCTGCCCGTGCCAGGCAGCATCATGCCCACCCCAGGGCGACCGGCACCCATCATGTGTGGTGAGCCGTGAATTCAGCAGGCAGCTTCTGATCCAGCCCAATGCCTCCTGTTTATGCAAAGAGCTCCGAGCGGGGATGTTGGCTTGGAGAGAGAAATGCCTCTGCCCATCGTCCCTGTCCAGGCCACCCCTGCCAAGGATTGTCAGTGCCTTGATCCTCCTCTTCGCGGGCAGAGAAGGTGGTTATACAATTAGAGAAAACGGAGAAGTTAAAAACATTCATTCCATTGCAGACAACCGGGAACAAAAGTCCTCCTCAGCAAAACCAGTAATTAATAAATCGGGATTATTACAACTTCACACCCACTATTGGGTTCTGCAATCAGCACCCACTCAATCCAGAAAGTGCTTGGGGCTGCGTGTGGGGAAACAAAAGGGGGATCTGTCCCTGAGTCTTCATTTCAGATTCATTCGATGGGAGAAATCCGGGGGTGACATTCAGAATCAGCCAAGCACCTTGCGGCAGCCGCGGGGCCATGTCCCCGCACCCTGTCATCAAGGCACATCTGTTGCCGACAGCCCTTCTGCAGAAGGGGACACGGTCCCGAGCACCCTTTGTGCCGCTGGAAAGCAGAGGGAGGGCGCGAGGGAGAAGAGAGACTAAACAGAAAGAAAATCACTCCAAACCCACGTCCCTTGCCTTGCAGAAGCCATCAGCAATCATATGCAGAATGAGAATAACCAATCTAGCACAATTCAGCTCGCACATGCTACAGGATCTCGTCTCATTACAGCTCTTTTATTTTAAGCACCCTCATGACACTAAAGAATTTGCAATTTTTTTTCTGCTTGCCAAAATTCATAATCACCAACAATTTCAGTTTTCTTATTTAATTTTTCTTTTTAACTCTTCTGCTCCGGGCTGCAAAGCCTTGCTGGGCTGCACCGGGGGAAGAAGGGAGGCAGCCGGGCTGACTAGGCTGCAGAAGCACGTGAGATTACTCAGGATGCGATAAACACTTTCAAGCATCTAAAAGGCTGCCGTGGAGAGGAAGGAATTAATTCCTCATCTGTATCCATGGGGGGTAGGATGAGAGGCAATGGGTTCAGGCTGCAGCTGAGGAGACTCGGGCTGACACTGACAAGTGAGTGCAATGGGGAAGAGTTTGGTTTGCAGCTCTTCTCTGCTGCCCAGAGCAGGATCCCAGCTCTGGGCATGGGCAGCCTTCCCCATCTCTCCCCTGGTGGCACCATTTCTGAGATCAACCTCATTCAACTCCAAGCCTGGGCAGAGGAAATTAAAATAACTTCTTGCACAAACAAGTCCTGAAATGCTTCCTGCGTCCTCCCCGGTCCGAGCCCTGCCAACTGTCCCAAAGGGCGCCCAGACACCAGTCTCCCACGGTGATACTTCTCCTCTGGGCTAGAGTTGACAGCGAACGCGGGCAGGCATGGGACCAGCTGGTTTCCAGGCAGTGGGCGAGAGGCACGGCACAGAGCCCTGTCCTGAAAGGTCCTCGCAGTCCTAGGGCACACACAGAGGTGGCATCGGCCGAAGCTTGCGAGTTGTCCCCCATGGCCTGACCTGAACCTTCTGCCTCCGGCCCCAGACGAAACAACCAGCCTGCAATGAAACCAGCTGCCCGCACTTGTGGGCAAGAGGAAAAGGACTTCTGCTGGACACTCTCTGCCTGCAGGATTGACCACAGGGCCCGGGCCGCCAGGCAGGCTAAAAAGGATGCTCTGCCCCAGGGAGGGAGTCAGGGGGTCCAGGCAGCCCAGCAGCTGACCAGAGATACCTGCTGAGGAGGGCAAGTGCAGCTGAGGTTAGGATCTGCTCCTTTGTCATTGCCAGAGGTGACACAGGAGGATGGCCCTCCCCGTGTACACCAAAGCACACGACAGTATTTTAGCCCAAGAGGACGTGGGGCTGCGGTGTCTGTAACCCAGCTCTTCCCGACCCCAGCTGCGGGTGAGGAGGAGCCCAGCTCCACACCAGGGATGCCTGACCCAGCACATGGCGAAAGGGGAGCATGGAGGAATGGAGTTTCCAGTTTCACTGGAGAGGAACATCTGCTTATCTCTAACAGGAGCCACTGGGACCCGCAGAGCAGCTTCGACGGCCAGTGCTGCGATGGCGCACAGGAGGCAGGAGCAGCTGGTGACTGCCTGCTGACACCGCTAACGCAGCGAGGCACTGTTGGCATTTACCGAGGAAGCGCGTTACCGCGCAGCGGGGGTGCCAGCTGCAACATGGCTTTTGGGTCTCTCTGGAGCCCCCTCGGGAGCAGCCCAGCGTCAGGCTCGCTTGCAGCCACTTGCCCAGGTTTCCTTTGTCGTACTCTGCTCCCTGGCCAGGCAGGGTCAGCCCAAGTAACAAGTGACACCGTCGGTGCTGCTTCTCACCCCAGATGGGACTCCAGGCAGGTCCCTTGGGGTCCCCAGTGCCTCTGGGCGATAGCAGTCAGCAGCAGGCCAAGGCACCCTCCAGACCAGCTCCTTACGGGACGCGGGAATGGCTTTCCCCCCAGCCACAGATGCTGTAGCAATGCTCACAAGATACCCACACATGGTGCTGCTGGGCCCAGGAGGATTCCTGCAGGGCAGCCCCATGCTGGGAAAGCTGCACGGTGCCCAAGGTGGAAATCTGATGTCCAAATAAACCTTTATGCCGAACTACCTGACTTGCCTCCACCTTGCAGGTTCCTGAGTCCCACCTTGGCCCAAGAGCTTGGGGATGCTCTCATAACATTTTCAGGCAGCTCCCTCCTGCACAGGGTGCTAGGGACGAAAGCAATATCCTCCCATCTGGTCCTCTCTCCCCTGTTCCCCAAAATCAACCAAAACCAGAGATCTTGTCCATGGCCACAACCCCATCACGCCCCTGCCCGTTGGCAAAGCTGCTTCGAAGGCAAGATAACCCCATGGGACAGCGGGAAAACCCAGCCAGGCTGTGGGCAGGCAGGGTGGGAAGGGAGAGAAATGACGCTGGAAGCGAAGACGCGAGGCTGGCCCGTTGCACTTCGTCAGCCTTTCCTCAAATAGCTCCCGACGCCCAGCCGCTGCGGCACAAACCCCCAGCGCCTGCCCTAAAAAGGCAGAGGATTACGACTTACCCTCATAGGACAGCACGTGGCCTTTCTTCCCTTCGTAGATGACATGTCCTTTGGGCACGGCATCCTCTCTCGCCTTCTCTGCTCTGCTGGGGCTGTCTTCTCCGATTATCCTGGTAATGGTTCCCTTGTACAGCACTTCTGCCGGGGTGCCCTTGGAAAGCCACCAAGATCCATATTTAACAGTGTCACAAGCAATTAAGCAAGCGTGCGCACAGGGACAGGCTGTTCCCCGTGGGAGGCTGAGCGGAGGGAGAGCGCGCCCAGACTCCGCTTCCTGGTGCAGCCAACAGTGAGGGACTTGCAGCTTAATTATTGATGAGGACGGTAACGAGGAGCGGTAAAAAGGTACGTGATCTGTGCAGGGTTGCCAGGAAGAGGTGGGGAGTGAGGACAGCACAGACCTCCAAAACAGCGACTCTCTCGCCCTGCGTGTTTTGGACTAAGCTACCTGGCTTGCTTGCACCCCACAGGTTTGGGGGGACAGGGCTGGTGCTCTCCTGGGGACACCTCAGTGACAGCAGGGACTGCTCGAGCATTCACTTTTTCCCTGTAGCCTATTTCCCCAGCCTGGTACAGCAGCCAGGAGATGTCCTGCCCACCCAGGGCACATCTGCTGGCCGCAAGTGTGACCTTCAGAGAGCTGCCTGTGGACGGGAGCTGTCGGCTGGCAGCATGCCCGGGCGAGATGGCAGGCGTCAACGAGACCGGTCCTGGAGCAGGTCGGGGAGCGAAGCCTGTCGGTTAGCTCTCCAACAGAAACAGCGTCAGGCTCCTTACACAAACTGGTGTGAACTGAAACCTCTCTTTCCCCAGAGGCACACACGGACACAGCTCACAGCCACTTGGCCCCCTCCAAATCCCCTTCAAAACACCCAGAGCTGGATGTCCTGGAAGACACTGCTGGTGATTAACCCCTCTGCCATCACAGCCTCTTGATGCCAACTGAGAACAAGCCACTGTAGGATGACGGTCCCCCACCCCATTGCAGGGAAGGCACAGTGATGCTGTCAGAGCAAAGCTCTTGATTGACACCTGCCTACTCTGCTCATTTAACCCCACCAACCCGCCGGACTGATGCTCGTGGGAAGCCTTGGGGTAGCGATGCCCCAGCCAGCTTTGCTGGTGCTTCCAGGTTGTGCCAGTGCAGACTATTTCCCCACCCCAGCTTGGAGATGCCCCTGCTCTGTACCAAGCCCTCTGAGCACCGGCAGTCCCCAAAACCCCACCACAGCTGCTGGGACACGCCAGCACGTGGGTTCAATGCTCTGATCCTTCGCCCTCACAGTACACCTGGTAACGTCTTTCTCAGCTGGCTCTCCCAGCCCCAGGTAAGTCATCTTCCTTCCGTGGACGTGCTCCGAGGGGATTTGAAAGCAAGTGATGACAGATGGCTTCAGAGCAGAGAGCGTATATTCAAGATCTGCCTTCTGCAAACTGGATGACTAATCTGAGATCAAATATCAGCTCTGGTACCGGGAGCTGCTGCCAGAACGAGGGGCTCCTTCTCCCCAACAGGAGCAGAGGGATGCAGGCTGCTAGGTCAGCAGGAGAGGCAGTTAATGCTGCCAGTAACACTCCAAGGTCTGGGCTTGGTACCTTAATCCCAAGCAGAACAGAAGAATCTAGATGGATTAATTACCTGGATGCAAAATAGTGTCTCAGCAAACTCTGCTCATCTCCTGAACTCTGGCATGTGGTGCTCAAGACCCCTCATGCCCCCCCATTGCTGCCCATAGCTGCTGCAGGGGCATATGAGAGGACGGAGCACGCGTTTGCTCTGACGGGTTATGTCCAGCCCCTCAGCATCTGCTCCCGGCAGCTGCTGGCAGCAGGGCACCAGGCGAGTTAAGCCTTTGCTCTGGGCCAGGATTCAGGTCCTCAGGGCCAAAGGGAACATGGTCACTCTCCTTGAAGGAGGCAGGCAAAAATCTGAGTGCGAGTGGCTTTAAATATCCGAATGATGGCCAGATAAAACCCCCATGGGAAACAGATTTTTTTTTTTTTTTTTTTAATGCTCTCTGCTCTGTTACCAGATGAGCAATAACTCACACTTGCAAAAAACTATCACCCGCTTGCCAGCTGCTCTTTCCGAAGATGGATGGCGGAGATTAAGGCCAAAGTCTCTTCCTGCTCAAGAGAGCCTTTGGGCAGGACCCCCAGCGCAGCGCGTACAGCCCTGGCAGGAGACCCGGCTACCTCACACGCACCTCGCTGCCTCCCCCTCTCCTCCGCCTGCCCTGGGCCCTCCACCCATCTCCTCCTCTCTGCTCCACTTTCTTGCACTGGCAAGATTATTTTCCCAGAGCCATTTAAAGCTGCTTTCACCTCTGTTCCTGAGAGCTACGAAAAGCAAAGGGGGGATTAGAGATGCTGTAAGGCTCCGCATCGCTGCTTGTCAAGCTCTGCTCTTCTGGCAGCTCAGCTCACAGGACAGGGCTCGTGCCACCCTGAGCAGAGGCTCTTTGCAAAGGCTCTGACCGCAGACCTCTCCGAGGGGCTCCATGGGGTGGGGGCATCGCAGCCCCGTGCTGCTCAGCCCCATGCCGCACACCCAGTGCACCATGCAAACCCCCGGTCCCTGTGTCCAGCACCACAACCTGCAGCCACTAGCACCCAGGAACCAAAACCAGCCAGAGATGAGGGACCTACATGTGTGATGGACCCTCGGTAGGTGATGGGCGACTCCGGAGGGGGTCTAGATGTGGGTGTTCCCTTGGTGATGCTCCCTCCCGAGGCAGAGCTGAGGGAAGTACCTGTGGGACACAAAAGCAGTGAGTTGGGGGCTGGATTTGCCTTTCAGCACAAAACCTGTGGGGCTGAGACTACTGACTAAGCGCAGGATTCGACCCAGTCCCTAGCAAGCTGAGGTACGACAGGGGAAGAGACATCAGCGTTAAACCCCATACCCTGCAGAGCCCTTCCTACCCTGTCCCCCAAGGGACCCAGTCCTTCGAGCCTGCGGCTGGGAGGTGGAAAAAGTGCATAATTCAAGGCTATCAGCTCCCTGTTACCTTCACAGAGGGGCCGGGCAGATTTACGGGCCTGGGAGAAAGCATAGCCTGTCTTAGCCTCTCCTAATGCGATCAGAGCCGATCTCCGGCGAGATGCAGCTCAGGGTGGTTTGAGTTCATTTGCTTCTTATCTGTGCTGGGTTAGAGCCAGCCCACTGCACTTGTGCATCCGACTGCCTTAGTTTGGGGGGTTTCACGAACCAGAATTTGCACTTAAAAGCAACACTTTTGCACTTGTTTCCTTCTGACTAGCTAATGGGGAAAGAAAGATGGGAGGGCTAGATTGAAATGAAATGTGGTCCCTGCCCAGCTGCAGCAGCAACAGTGAAGAACCTCAAAACCAATTAATGGCATTGAAACAGGTCTTGCTTTATCTTAACCAACAGAGTTTGGGGTGCCCCTTGAACACAAAACCTCTACCAGGATCAATGCATGAGGCTCTGAATCGGGGAGATGCTTAGAAGCGTTGAGGCGTTGTACAGACCTATCTGCCAGCCCACTGGCAACGCCAGAAAAAAGGGGTGAAGAGATCCCTTCAGCTGGGCACAACCCCAGAAATCAATCACGAAATCACTGGGCAGCCACAGCCAGCGTGGCGTTCATCAGGCTTGGCAGTGCCAGCATCCCTCCCCTCCCGCAGCCGGGGCATGCACCTCCCGCGCCGGCTCCTCACCCCGCAGGATGGAGCCCTCCTGGGATGGCTGCAGAACCAGACCTTCTGGCTGGCTGGCCTGGCTTCTAGGAGAAAGTTGTTCCTGCTTTACTCCAGGAAAAGGCACTGGAAAACATTAACCATGTATCAGCATAGGTGCAGGGCATGGGGCTGCAGCTCTCGGCTGCTCGAGGCTTTCATCTCTGCCAGCCCCAGGTTGGCACCTCCTCAGCGCCTTCGCTGTCCCCACCGCTTTGGGATGCCCTTCACCGAGGCTGTGGTGGTCGGCAGAGCGCACAACCGCCGGGGAGCAAAGCCAGATCCTTGTTCTCACCCTGGCGAAGGCACTGCCAGGTGCTGCCTGCACCAGGAGCGGGGCTGGCGTTGAAACCCCAGTGCTGGTTTATAATGGGACCTGCGCACATCAAGAAGTAAGGCCTGGCTCCCCACTACCCAGACTCAGTCCTGTTCAACCCCTCCTGCTGTAAAGAAATGCTTCCAAATCTGCAGACTAAACACTTTCTTTGTTCGCTTCAGGCCATTTACTCTTTATCCTACCGGCCTGGGGAGTGGCAATACATTTCCTTCCTTCAATCACAGTATTAGGCAGAGGGTATTTATAGGTTGGGATGCATCCCTGACGGAGCTGCCGCTTTCCTATACTGCACAGATTTAGCTCCCTGTGTCTCTGCTCTCCTGATGGACTAAGCCTTTCCTCCTCTCAGCAGGTGTCTCTGCGCTCCCTTGCCATCTCCTGCTCTCCTCCTTTCCTCTACACCGCCGGCAAGCTCGCTCCCCGCTGCTCTCGGAGCACACGAGAAACGGGCTGCCCGGGGAGGTGGTGGAGTCACCGTCCCTGGAGGTGGTTAAGAGACTGGACGTGGCATTTAGTGCCATGGTCTACTTGACATGGTGGTGTTAGGGCAAAAGCTGGACTCTATGATCCCAGAGGTCTCTTCCAACCAAATCAATTCTGTGATTCTGAGAAATCACTCGCCTCCCAGTTCCTTACCCAGTTTCTTGGGATCCATGGTCAGCGGCAGGCCCATGGTGATGGAGCCGACGGGGACCTTGGCGTGCTCAGAGCTGTAGGGCGTGTGGAGCTGGATGGGCATGCCCTGCGGTGCGAGAAGAGAGGTCAGGGAGCGGCTGCCCGAGGCGTCCCCACCGCTCACACCCAATACCCTACCTGGGAAATGGATCCGATGGGTCTCTCCAGCACAGAGGGGTGCTTGGTGGAGGAGATGAGGGGAGGAGGGTTGGAGATGCTCGCCAGTCTCTGCAGCCCCGAGCGAGAGCTCTCATGCAGGTTTAGTGGGATGGGGTGTCCTGTGTAGAAAACACAAGCATTAGCAAGATCGAGAGAAGGCAGAGTGGCAGCGGCTATCAGACAGAAAAGGGGCAAGGGAGGGAGCAGGGGCTGGACATGGTGAACTGCCCGGCTGTGAGCCTGCACTAGGATCCAAGTCACACGATTGTTTTGGAAAGGACTGGAATAGTTTAAACGACTGCCTTGTCCCCTCTCCAGCCTGAGGATGTTCTGTGCCCGAAGTTGTCTGCCCTCCAGCTGGAGAGGGACAGAACAGCGAGGAATAAAACCTGCTCGACTTTGCACAAGGGCAGCACAGGGAGCACCCACACCGTTCTGTGACAAACCACGTCCCTGAACCTGCCCTGGCCAGAGCTGGGAGACCTTCCTGGTCACCCTCAGACCACTGCATTAGCAGCAAGGGAGCTCCAGGCCAGGCCAAAGCAAGGAAATCTGCTGACCCCTCTCTCTTACCCTCTCCCCAAAAAGCTGCATTGACTTAAGAGCACGACCTGCGATGCTGGCTCCAACCACAGCCTGCAAGCTTGGCCCCAGGTCAGGGCGCAGGGCACAGGCCACGCAGCCAGCGGCTTTTACTTGCCTGGTGGGTTATACTGAAACAAGTGGGGTTCCGCCTGGGGAGAGGCTTTTATCACATCCCGAGAGTAGGACAGGACAGGGGGCCAACACGAGGCGGTTGTCGGCTCTGTGCTCAGCTTCTGAGCCTCTGCGATGGATGAGAAATGCATGGACTTTTCTGCAACGGAAACAGAAAGCAATCAGCTTGCTCAGCGGTCCCCACGGATGAGTGGTCCCTACGGATGAGTGGTCCCTGTGGGCACGGGCAGGTAAGCCAGAGCCAGCTCTCAGCATGGGAAGTGGCTCCAGCTCAGTCCGACCTGGCCATGAGATGAGGGCTGAATTCCCCAGCCAAAGTAAAAAAGAAAAAGCCTCAGTGTTACTGCCTGGATTTGACAGCATTTATTTTACTCAGATGCTTAAAGCGCAACAGGGAGGACGGATGTCCGTGTCGGTGACTCTGCTGCTGTTCAGTGCCAGCCGGGACCTCCACAGACATCCCATCCCACCCAGGAGAGATGGTGTTTGGTGCGCAGGCTGTCAGTGGGACAAGCGCAGGGTCCAGCTCCTCACCAGAGCTTGGTCACACACAAACCGCTCCTGGGCAGCTCCTGCCTGTGCCCACAGCTCCACATCAGCCACCGCAGCAGGGCTGGGGGGATTAATGATGACCCTGCCAAACCCTTCATGGAGTTAAAGCCAAGAGGCACCAACATCGGCATCCCTCTGACGCATGGGGGACATCCAGTAGGCACCAGCTCCCTGGTGACAGCATGGTCTGTGGTGTGCAGCCGGGCACGGGGTGCCTGGGGAGCCCTGGGCCACTGCCAGGGACTACCATGTGCCAGCACACTGGGAACGAGTTCATCCCCACATCACATCGCGATACGAAAGCTCAGCCGCTCTTGAAGGATGGCTGTCGGCTATAAATCGTTTGTAGGCTGCAGGAAGCGGCCAGAAATAATGGCATCAGCTGCTTGGACAGCAAAGGAATAACGTGCTGATGTTCTCCAAACATCTGGGACGACCACGAGATTGTCAAAGGCAAATGAAGATGCAGATGGGCTCTGCAGGACAAGCGGATGCGTCTGCAGGACGCGGGGCAGTTTGCTGGTCCTCTGCAAGGCACCGGGGCTGGGTGCAGGAAAGCTTCCTGCAGTCATCTGGCTTGGGATATTCTGGATGCCAGGCTGGGTTCACCCTGGCTATAAAAAGGTTGATTGGAGACCAAGAAGTACCTAATGACGGAGAAGCCGTGCTGGGGATGCCTGAACCCTGCCATGCTCTGCAGAGTGCCAGGGAAAAGAGGGGCTTCATCTGCACCAGCTACATCCCAAGTGCATCCTTGCGCTTTGCTGAGCAGACAGATGAGACAGCCTTTTCTGGATGGATTAGAGGCAGGTTTGGTAGGATTTGCTTGTAATCGATCAACACTTAATTTTGCGCTGCCCTTCTTCCCCAGACTCAGCTGCTAACGTCTGCATTGACCAGAAATTAGAAACTGGGCAGTAAACAACAGCAATCACAAATGAACCCAGCCTTTAACCATCAATTTTTGATAAAAACAGATGCCTGAATCCTGCTAAGCCTAATAATAGGGCAAGTAGATTATCAGAGGCCAAATTTAATGAGGCTTTACTGCATTAGCGTTATTAATGCCCAGTGTACTCAGAAGCTGAGAGATTATTCTTGTCCCCTTCAGTGAGAGAGGAAATCCATTACCGGCACACAGAGGTGTCCAGGCACTCACACCTCGGCAGCCTGGTGGGGCTGGACCTCAGCTGCAGCCTCTCCTCTCCCCATGCTGGATCCCAGAGAGGATCCCTTCATCCCGCCAGCACGGGGGAATCCAAGCACATCCTCTGGACCAACGGAGAGTCCCTAGCATGGCCATGCTCCCTGATTTTCTCCCACTCAGCACTGCCCTGCTCATCTCTGCTCATGCAGTGTCGAACAGCGCTGGGATGTCCCGGCTGAAGATGCTCTCTGATGCCAAGGCTATGTGCACCCTAGATGGCTCTTGGAGAGCCCCATCCTCCTCCCCTCCCCGTGGGAGCCGTCCCTTCCCCTGCGTGCCTCTCCGGCCTGTGAAACGCAGCCAGTTCCTAATTGCCCCCGCATTAGAGGGTGGCTATAACTCAGCCAGCTTTTGATAAAATAGCACTTACGCGGGGAAGAGAGAGTTCCTATTACCGTTTATCAAGCCCCTGGAATGGGAGCGAAGGAGTCAGAGTTTATATGATCCGTCATCTAAATTAATGCTCTTGGCTCCCCATCGCCTACAAAGGCCAAATGAAACACAACTAAATCAACACAAAACATACCGCTGGCTTTCAAAACGCCGAGCGATAACCAAAGATATGCCCGACGGCGACTCGGCAATGGGAAAAGGGATCCGTCTGCCTGTCGGTGAAATCCAGGCAGGGTTG